TCCTATATTTATAATTTTTAGTGGAGAGATTTGCTACCCAATAAGAACTGAAAATTAGAGGGTACCGTTATATGGGGGCTACCAGAAAAAATGGACCTATATGTATAATTTTTTGTGGAGAAATTGGGTACCCAATAGCAACTCAATATACCAAATTTCAGCGAATACGGTTGAAAAACGCGCTCAAGATCCTCAAAATACGGAAAATTGGGGGGTACCCTTATATGGGAGCTATACCTAAACGTGGACCGATATATCTTCGAACTTGACCTGCCTGCAGACAAAAGACGACTCTATGCAATATTTTGGTGATCTATCTCAACTCGTTTAGACGCTAGAGTGATTACAACAGACGGACATGCTTAGATCGTCTTAGAATTTTACGCTGATCAAGAATATATATACTTTATAGGGTCGGAAATGATTATTTCGATGAGTTACAAACGAAAAATCAAAATTAATATACTCTCCATACTATGGTGGAGGTTATAAAAAGGGGTTTATATGGGGACTACATACAAAAGGATACGAATACAAATAATTCTTGAAATGGGGATTTGTTACCAACTACAATATACGAAATTACAGCAAATTCGATTAAAAAACACCCTCAAAATACCGAAAATTATTGGGTTACCGTTATATGGGAGCTAGCAGAAAAAGTGGATTAATATTTATAATTTTTAGTGGAGACATTCGGCACGAAGCCACAATACTGCAAATTTCGTGTTATCCTTATATGGGGGCTATGCCTAAACGTGAACCGATATAGCTCATCTTCGAACTTGACCTGCCTGCAGACAACCCTATGCAAAATTTCAGCACCCTATTTCAATTCCTTCAGAAGACAACGTAATTACAACAGGCGGACGGAAATGGCTAGATCGTCTTAGAATTTTACCCTGATGAGGAATATATGGGAAATTACAAAAATCTTTTAAATTCCTTGAAACTGAGGTTTGCAAGGTTATAACTCGCGAAATATGAACATATTGCATATAATTTAAATTCATTTCTATAAAATGAAGTGTTCTCGTCAAAATCTTAAAATATTGGTAATAAATAATAAGTTGCGTGGAAGTAGTGATGGTGGTAATGTAAAAAAATGGAGCCAACGAGTTTTTTGTGTTCCTTCCTGATTTGTGGCTAAACTACACAACCCACGCACATATGATCAGTGATTAAGTTGCAGAATACCCCATGGACAATATGGTTCTAATATATGATTATTCGATATAACCACTGCATCCACCCAAAATGGATCCTCACATTTTGAAGCCGGATTTTCGGTGTTTTTTGAATTTTATCTTATAATTAGGACGCGCATGTGCTCACCGTAGCTTCTTTGCAATTGGATTCCAATTTTTATAAAAAAAATATTTTTTGAATCTAAAATTAAGAAAGTCCATTCAAATTCCGTGGAACCCCGCGTGATTTTCGTTTTTTTACGTGCCAGATCTAATGAACCCATCCATGTTCAATTCCGCCCGGATATAGGTATCTTGACTGTGGGAAAAACTGCAAAAACTTATTTTGACAAATTCGCGTATATACTCGCGTTTTTCCTCGAATGGATTACACATACATTCATTCTTGTGTTATCATATTCGCGAATCTGTGTGAAAATAGGACAAAAATATATCGATACGCGAATAATATTCGTATTTTATCCAAAATCGATTGGGGAGGCACATCCGCGGTTCTTAATCGATCCTTTTAAAATAGGTATCCTTTAGTGTATTTTCATAGGAGATTACTGAAATCGGATGCGCATAAAAATCGTATGCACGTTGTGCCATTTTTAGGGTTTTTGCATAGTAAAGTGCATCGAGCGGCACACTTTGGCCGCTTAATTAAACCTCGAAAAATTCATCATTATTGGAAGAGATTGATTCGGTTTATATGAAATCCGCATGCGCATCAACTGATTTTAACTAATACGCAAACTTGCTTTTTAATGTTGATCATTTCCATATACTGTAACTGCAATATATTTGGTCATTTTTAAAGTCAAAACTCTTAACAGAGGAATCTACCGATATTTAACAATCATCTAAAATTTTTTAGAAGAAATCGTCACATGTTTTCGAAGATCTAGACAAAACCGTATTCCCTTAACCAAACTGAAAAAAAACATTGTGTGGCAATTGAAAAATGAATTTATTTTATTTTCAGATATTTTAATGCTTTTATTTGTTTTTCGCGACTATTAAACCGTATTTTAATGTGATTTGACTAGTATGCAAAAAAGCAAATGTGTCATGAAATTCGCGAATTACTACAAATAGGAAATAATTTAATTTATATTTGAAATACAAGATTTAAACCCGCTATAACTTTTCTGCGCAGCATCCGAATTTGTGAACGCGAACAGATTTTGAATCAGCATATTTTCCTTAACCTGTGTACCAAAAATCATGAATGTGCTCGCAAACAATTTTTTATGGAATTTTAAAAGAGTTTTGTAATTTCCCATATATACTTTATAGGGTCGGAAATGAATATTTCGATGAGTTATAAAGGGAATGACAAAATGAATATACCCTCCATACTATGTTTCGGTTCTATTCCTTCTTATATTATAATTATCTAAATTTTGTTGTAACATAACATCTAATATTTTTCTTTTAAAATAATTCATTTTAACTACAAAAAAATATTTATTAATTTTTTAGTCCATCGTAAATATGTATTTTTTTTTAAATGGGTTATGTTTTCTTTAGAACTTGCTGCTTTAAAATTAACATTTAGAATATAACAAAAAAGAAATGTGAATAAACAAGTATAAAATATGAACAAGTAAAAACGATATTAAGTTCGGCCCGACCGAACCATGAGTATGAGAATCAAAATATCTAAAATTAATTAATAGAAGCTTGAACATACCGAAAAATTCTCAAAATATCTAATAGTGAGACTACCGTTATATGGGGCTATAATAAAACGTTAGTGATATATTTTTTTTTTTTTTTTTTTGCAGTGAGCCAATGATAGTGCACAATACCAAATTACACCCAATTCGGTTGAAAAACGTGTCCAAATTCTCAATGTTAATAATGTTTAGTGTGGAGATATCGTTATAATCATCCAAAGAAACCAATCCCCTTAATGCGGGCGTGGGTCAATATTAAACATTTTTAGTTTGGAAATGTGCTATACAATGAGAATCCAAAATACGAAATTACAGCTAATTCGGTTGGAAACCCTGTACAAAATACCCAGGGAGTACTTTGTGGGCTCTCTGGTGAACATTTCAAAATGTTGCAAATTGAGTGCACACTGAACCTAATGGCAGTGGGTATAAAAAATGCGCAAAAAACATGCGTATAATGGTAAATTTTCTCTATTTTTTCTTTACTTATTTAACATTCTTGTAAAAGTACGGTGGCGCCAACTAAGTTAATCTAATTTGCAAAACAGATTTTGAAATTAGTGGTGTGGAAAACAAAATTTCAAAAAGTATCGCCCTATTTATTTTTAATTTAAATTGTCAAAAGTATAAAAAATGATTCACTTTTTAGTTTCCAACTTATTAAAATATTATTAAATAAAAAATATGACATATATAAATATGTCATGTATAAATTTTTATCAGAATTAGAAATATGTTAGAATTCGCTTTAAAATATTGTTGTTACATCATTGCATTTGAATTAGATATGGTAAGTTTGAAAATTGTACTTATTTACCATATTTAACGAGCCATTTGCGACATACATATTTAGGATAATTGTAATCTGTAGAATGCAGTACATTACCTTTGATGTGAGCAACCCGAAAATTTGGTAGAGTCGAGTTAAATAAAAATTTTATTTAGTATTTTATATACAATCCGACATTGTTATATCCTTGAACAACCATAAAATGGAGGTAATCAATATTACATTTGGGAAGGCGATACTGTATATATTCCTGTGCCTCAATTCTCTAACACATTTTATCGACACTCAAATTGTTTAAATATTTTAACGACATTTTTATCGAATTCGACATTCTGAAACGTTTTTACAACGTTTCTTATTGTCGTTGTTGTTTAATAAACTGGAATAAATTTTGTGCTGTTAAGTTGTCGACAATTTGTTTATTATTTCTGAAAATGGCATTTGAGTATATAATGCAAGATTTAGCATTACACAACTATGTGGATAGAGAACCAACAGTAAACCGGCGATTACTCTGCGATGTGGACAATCCATTCAATATGTCAATACGGGAATTTAAAAAATTGTATCGTATAAGTCCTAATTTAGTTCAAAAATTGTCGATGACGGAAAAACAGGTTTGTATTCATGTCAAATCTGTAGTAATGCCTCGTACCGTAATTTGCTCACACTTTAAGGTACTTGCAACGTTAAGATTCTATGCCACGGGATGTTATCTGCGCCCAGTGGGTGATCAATGTGGAATATCAATGAGTCAGTTAACAATAAGCGGATGCATTCATCGTGTTGCAGATGCCATTAACCATTATCTGTTTATTTCTACAATTAAATTTCCAATGACTCAAGAAGAGCGCCAAGCTGCTAAAACAACATTTGCTACAGCATTGTCACCGTTTGTGGGAGGTACTATTGGAGTTTTGAAAATTACTTGTCGTTGCTTATCAAGGCAAATAACTCTACTGTATGCTCCAGGGTTTGCAGGGAGAGTTGTTAATGCGTGTTCTGTGTTACATAACATGAGTTTAACTGAAGAAACATATGATGCCTTTAATGAATTGTCGGTTTCAGAGAGCGCCATAAACGTCGCATTAAATGACTCACCGTCATCTGCAGCAAAACGCATTCAAGAAAGAATAATAAACAATCATTCTACGTAGTCTTTATAATGTAGTTTTTTTTAATTTTTTCTGTGGAAGAATATCATTAAAACCCATTTTAAAACGAGTGCAATACGCGTTTTATTAAATTTATTTAAAACTTAATAACATTGTTAGACATTAAAAGCATTACATTAGATAAATTATTAAAAGACGCAGCACATGCTTTAAGACCTTCCCCCTAAGTTTTGATAGCTTCTGCCATCATTTTTGTGCCTTCGCTTCTAGCAGCACTAGATTCTGCCAACATCTAAATATAGAGAAGAAAAATGGTTATGTAAACGTTATGTTTTCTGTTTAATACATCTTACCTTAAGTGATTCAGCCTGCTTATTGGCTATATCTAAAAATTTATTATTATTTTTCTAGAGATACCATTCCAAAATATTGTTTATCAATAGTCTTTTAAAATATGTTACTGAATAAAGCAGTCGTTGCTGCAAACAACAAAAAATGTCGATAAAAATAAGAACTCGACAATCGTTAAAAGTTACTGAATCGACCTACTGATGTATGTTCTGAAATATAATGAATGATAAATCAATAATGTATGTAGTGACTAAAGTATATATAATTTTAATTTTTATTAATGGAAATAAAAGAAATATAGTGGCTTCGTCCCAATTAGAATTAAACTACCGATGACTGAATATTATTGAATAGTGAATTTAAAGACCCATTGTATGAAAAGTATCGAATTTGGTTGAATAATAACGATTTATGTTAACAATATGCCAAAAGAGTGAAATTTTCAAGACCCATTATATGGGAGGTATACCAAATCCTGTATCAATCTATCCAATTTTTTTGTCATTTGCTTTTTAGGCCAATAATAATTTGTGTATGATTCCATCCCCCTACGATAACTTCTTCTATTTTTGGCCGCTGTTAATATGAACTCGCGACATAGTGGGCCGTAAATAAATGCATATGTATGCGTACCATTTTATTAACCTCAAAAGTTAAAAACATGTATTTCAATGAATCCCTGTAGGGAAATGAACCAATTTTAAACTTACTTTAAATTAATTTTAAAATAGTCACTACTAGTCCATTTATCGATTATTTTTCTTTGGACCAACTGACTATTTTTACATGTCGATGATCGCGGTAGTAGTCAGTAACTTTCCAACTGGTTACAAACTAGTTATTTTTGACCGATTTATAGTAAGATTAAAAAAATGCAGATAGTCATCGGACTAAAAGAGATTAATTTGTATGTAGAGTTTTCGAAATGACTATTAGTTGGTATATGTTAATATAACTATTTACTAACTTAACTTGGCTAATTTGTAATTATACGAATAGTGCAATGTTTGAATCTATGAAATAACGTTAGACAATATACAATTTCAGATTAGAATTCAATATATTTTATTATAAATTGTTGGAAAATTATATACATAGGTGGAAATATATAAAATATGCTGAATAAATAATTCATCACAGAAAATTAATATAAATGACTGACTTATAGTTTTTTTGTATGCATATGTTGTGAAAGTGACGTTTTTTAATAATATGCTTTTTGGAGCTCCACTGGAAGTGATCGCAGGGCATCCATAAGGCACTCGAAAACATTTTGGAAATCTTTTAGGCAGGCTGAATATCTGAAATATAGTGAAATTAAAATTCGAATAAGAATAGTTGGTTTTAGTTTATATAATAAATTACATACTTAAGTTTATGCTGAGGCGTTTCACTGACTTTGGCGGGGACTCCATTGGATGACTTTGTTAGAAATTTTACAAATATTATGTATATGCGCTACAAATTAAAAAAATATGTATCTATATTTGCAGATTTACATAATTTTCTACGATGTGACTTGCTAGGTAACATTTCAATTATATTATTAAAACACTTACCAATTTATTTTTAATTTCACACTTAAAGAGCACAATTACAATTAACTACGATTTACACGTCTTCACTCTCCGAACTTTCAAACAGAATGATTTTTCTTCATCTTTGCATTCGGTGTTGTTGTGTGGAATGCAATTCTAACGGTTTCTTGTTTTGCGTGTGTTATGTTTTTGATGACATGAACATATATTTGGTTTCAATGTGGTTGAGTCTTAGATGACTTTCTAGCTAATTTATAATCAGTTGATTAACAATTACTTTATAACTAAACATTTTGTAAACTAGTAGATGAAAGTCCTACAGGGATGTTACCCAAATACGCATTGGTATCAATATATGGGTAATATTACCAATTTTGTAATATTCCATTTTCAAAAAATCAGCTTTTTTGATTTTGTGGCACATCAATGATTTTTGGTACACATATAGGGAAAAATGTTTTGACTCCGAAACCGTTCGCGATTAAATTTTTGGTTGATGCGCGCAAAAGTTATCGAGTTTTTAATTTTGGGCTTAAGAAAAAAATCTTAAAATTACGCTGTTTATTATATTGACCAAAACCGTTGAGAATATGAATATATTATAATAATAGCGAAAAAGTTTCACATCATGAGTAAAATAATAAACATATAGGATATTACGTCAATATTTTCATTATAGTCATGACATACACACACCTAAAAATTCATTTAAAAATATCTACATAATCTAAACACCACGATGAATCAAATGATATAAAAATCACACAAGTCTGTGTAGCGGTTTGTAAATTACAGCGACAACAAAACAAGATATTGAGGAAAAATATTTGTTTTTAGTTCGAAAAAATAATGTCATCATATTTATTTTTGAATTTTATACAAGAAATTTCAGGGAAAAAAATTTTGCTATTTTACCCGAATTTCGCCGACAAATTGACATATATAAAAATAATCACATTTTGTGTGTAAGTATACGCCTTGCGGATTATACCAAGACCCTTCCGATAAATCTTGGGGTTCTATAAATAGGAATAAATCTTAAAATAAAATAATATTATGAAATATACATTTTATTGTCTCTAAATCGCGTAATTCTTAAAATCATTTGATGCGCATGCGGTTTCCAGGAAGTACTGAAGTTTATCTTCCAATCCATATATATTTTGCGAAATTTCATTTGACGGCTAAGATGTACTACATGTTGCATTGAAGTACACAAAAACTCGTAAAACGCGAACAATTTCCGAAAACTCCATATGCCATTAACGCGCATCAGATTTCGGTGTGCACCCTAAAGAAATACATCGATCTATACCGATTTCAACGCGTTCCATTAAGAACCATGGATGACCCAGCACAATCTATTTTTGAGATAAATTGGGTACATCTCTCTTTCGGTTGAAGATTTTAATGCTCTCTTTTCGCGAAAGTGCAAAAACCGTAACCGGTCATTTATTGAAACGGAAATTATCCACAGAAAACGCAAATAAATCCGCGATATTTTCAAAAACATTTTTTGCCAAATTTTGTGTTTTTGGAAGGCCAGTTCCCGCCGTTCTAGTAGATGGATTTTCACGAAGAAGATTTTATATCATCCGAAACATAAAAAACCTTACTGATCGCGTGATGGCCCTAAAAATAGGTTTTTTTAGAAATTTGATCGCACAAAATTCTCACCTTCGGATGAGTATTGCTCTGAAGCTGTGCACACTACATACACAAAATATATATCAAATTACTCAGATTCGCGACTATAATAATCTTATAATCGATCTTTAGAAATTCCTGCTTGCGCATTAAAACTAGAAGTAAAATTCAAAAAAACAGTCAAAATCGATCTTCAAATAATCAGCATCATTTAAAGGTAGATGCAGATAAAATTTTGAAAAATTATACATAAGGGGCGTAGTCCCCATTTTGTTGGCTTCTAGTTTTACATTGACACGAAGACCGTGAAATGAGTGGCTTAATCACAAATCGATAGAGAATATAAAAAAACAAAAAGCGCGGTATAAACAAAATGAGCTAAGTGTTTTGGAAACTTCCATCTCTGTTATGAACACATGTAAAGTTCCAAATTAAAAAGGGTTGCCATTATTGATATCTCAAATGAGACTACATGTCTGTTTCGATCTGGCAACTCCTTCATATCGAAACAGTTGATCAAAAAAGACGCATCCGCAATTTTTTACAATGGAAACATTACAAATGCTTACCTTCATTGTAAAAAAATTGCGGATGTGTCTTTTTTGAACACCTGTTTATATAAGAAGGAGTTGTCAGATCGAAACAGACAGGTAGTCTCATTTGAGATATTAATAATGGCAACCCTCTTTAATTTGGAACTCGTCTCTCAATTTCAAAATGTTTGAAAAATAAATTCCTTAAAATGTTGTGCATGTCGATTGGCATATTTAAAAAATATATGTATATAAATGTGTATGATATGTACAGACATACTTATTTTTAATCAGGATTTGCGACCAATAAAATGCAACATACATTTTTTGATCCACAATGTTCTTAAGCTATAACTGCTGATGCTACAACTTATATTTATAGATTATAGAGGCTGGGAACTTTAAAATATTAAACATTTTGTAAATTATGAAAAAAAAATGAAATTTCATCAATTATCCATCAACATTTTAGAATTTCCTCTATTCAAACTGTTTCAAAAAATATCTTGTGTCAAAAAATGACTGCATTTCAAGATTCTACCATAGAATGGAGAGTACAGTAAAATCTGGTTCTAGCTAATACGGATTATCCCAACTGCATTTCACAACTCATTGCGCATTTTACAATCCAAATTGTTTGTCTCTATTTGACTATGCAAAGGAATTGAGATAAGGTGCTGGAATTTTGCATAGGGTTGTTTTGTCTGTGGGTAGGTCAAGATGGGCTATAATGGTAACACGTTTTGGGGAAACTCTCATATAACGGTAAAACCAGACTTGCGATATTTTGAGGATTTTGGACAAATTTTAAACCAAATTAGCTTTTATTATGTATTTTGTGTTCTCAATGGGCAACAAATCTCAATATTGATTTATTTGTTTTGTAGTCCCCTTGAAACGGTGTCACAAATTTTCTATATTTTGCGGATTTTAAAGACGTTTATAACCAATAGAGATTTAATTTGGTATTTCGTTATTTTCAGGATATTCCTATCAGACGTAATCAATATTCGTCTTTAGGTATAGCCTCATACAGGAATCGTATGTTTTCATTTGGGGAAGGGGGTGGGCCCGATTGTGCGAAATGTAAAATTGTTCCTTCCTTCTTTCATTAAGGCCCCAAAAATAAATAACGTCATTACTCTTAATGTATTGGGTATATAATAATTTATAATAATCTTTATTTTGAATCACGTATTTTGTTTTTAGATTTTTAGTTATGTTAGCAGTATTTACTTCAGATTTATGCATAGACATAAGGGCGTAGACTTTGCATTTGATTTTTCAGCTACTTTTTTACTCGACGTAACTTTTTTCAGCTGATACTATGGTTACCGG